TTCCTGTAGTGAGCTGGTGATGGGCTGGGTGACTTCAAAGCTCTCTTCTAGCTTCAGGATTTTTTTTTGCCTTTAATCTGTTTAGGGAGAAAAAGAGATCCAACAGTTTTAGGACACAAAGAAAAGGAAGATTGAAAGCTCCAGATAGATTGGATTTTACAATGCCCATCCTTCCCTTTACAGTATATTTTAGGCCTTTTCCTTTCAGCTCAAGAATGCTGAAAGAGATTGGCGGTCTTCCTAGGGACATAGAGACTTCCATTGCATTTCTGTAGAGACGTAACTATTTCATATATGTAGCACAACTTCACTTTCTCTTTTATTAGGTCTGGTCCCACCCCCCTGGAACAATATCCTGTAGTAGTGCTTGATTTCTCACCCCTATGGTAGCCATGTCAAAATACATCCAGGGTTTTTAAGGATCCCTGCTAGCGTGAGGTCTCCACTAAAAGGGAATATACGTAGTTCAACATTTTAAAGATGTATATAGCTCGTGACAAGCTACCATATGTAGCTCAGACCAAGCTAAATCCAAAAGCGCTATGGGATTCCTGGAAGCTTAGCATTCAGATAAATCAGCCTTCAATGGACACAGAAATGAAGGACACACCATTCAGAAAAGACAATAAAAAGCTAAGAAAGAAACAAAATGACCAGAAGACATCCTCTCCAGTAGCCTTCACCTAGATAAGCAGAGGCTAATACCAGATAAACAATCAAGCAGAAAACAACCAAGTAAAAAACTATCAAGGAGAAAAAACCCCACTAACACAGGCAGAGCAAGCTACTGGGTATAAACAGGTAACAAATTCAACTTCACCAGCACTGATGATGATACCGAGTCAGGTATAACGGAAACAACAAAGCTCAGAGAACAAAAAGGGCTCTACAATGTGTTGCCTGCAGAAACCTCTCTGTCTTGTTCATAATCTCATTTTTCTCTGCAGGTACGCAACACAAGCCAGACTTTCTTCTTTACAGTGGAGCAGGAGACACCCGTCCAGGGTCTGAAGCCTGCCTTAGTCAAAGTCTATGATTATTATGAAACTGGTGAGAAGGGGACTGAATGGTGGCAGTTCCAATCAGCTTGTTTAATTAATTATTTTTCAACATGAGGTTGTTCGGAATTTTTTCTTCCTTCTGCATTGGGAGGTTTAGGGCTCAAAAAGGGGAAAAATTAACGGCTTTCGGCTTTGCCGAAAGTGGGCATGTGTTTGGCCCTTGTTGCGGGGATCCGCAACCCCCTGGCCATGGCCCTGTACCAAGCAATGGGCTATTCAGAACTGAGTTCTGTGAGAAGCAGGCTGGCACGCATGCGCATGTAGCTCAAGGGAGTGGTGGATTGGTGCATGAGCGGACATGCACGCGTCTTAACTCACATAAGTTGAGCTACATGCCTGTGTGTGTGTGCACACCAAGCCACTGCTTACGTGGCCTGGTTCCCCTGTCCCCCACTGCAAAGGTTGGGAGCGCTACCTTAAAGCACTGCTTGGTGGGAAAAATCCATCCGATTCTTGGGGAGAGTTCAGGATTTTTAATGAGAGATAAAATTATCTCTCGCACAACATTTGCATGTAAAATTAGAGGACAACCCCTTTGTACTCCTGGAGCAAAATCCGTACCATGAACCATACGATAGAGATCAAAGTCTAGGAGAGAGACACCTCAGCCCTGACAAACTTTCCTTTTTTTGTGTTCCAGGTGAATTTGCAACAGCAAAGTACACTGCCCCCTGCAGTACAGGTAAAGCATGAGCTGCCATTGGCCCAAATGTTTTTTAGTTACATGTACTCCTCAATTTACGACCATAATTGAGTCCAAAACCATTCATTTGGTGACTGTTCAAAGTTACAACGGCACGGAAAACAGTGACTTACGATAGTTTTCGCCATTATGACCATGGCAGCATCCCCTTGGTCACTTGATTAAAATTTGGATGCTTGGCAACTAGCTAATATTTATGATGGTTGCAGTGTTCTGGGATCACATGGTTACCTTTTGCGACCTTCTGATGACCAAAATCAATGGGGCAGTCAACCATATTAGTAGCTTAATAACTGCAGTGATTCACTTAACAACTGTGGCTTGAAAGGTTGTAAAACTCACTTAACTCGCTTAGCATTAGAAACTTTGGGCTCAATTGGGGTTGTACGTTAAGGACCACCTATTGCTACTTCTCTGGCTTCTTTTAGAATGACAATTTGTCCATTTAGTTTGTGTGCGGACAAAATGAGGAGGGGGTGATTTCACTTGGGCGTTCTGCCTCATGCCCACCTAAACTTTGTTGTTTTTTTAAATAAACTTTTCTTACTTTCTTACTTACTAACTTTTCTTCCATGACAGATGATATCAAGGAAGTCCACGTATAAAGCATAAGGATTCAGCTCATGTTTTCTGGAATAGCACATTATCGGAAAGAATGAATCTCGTAGAAACTAAGGAGGAATATGATTTTATATACAAACGTATTAAATGCTCAGTACTAAAATGTTTTAATATTTTGATTGTAACATGTTTTTTTCAACTGTAAGCCACCCAGTGTCATTGACTGAAATGGGTGACTATAGAACCTGAATGAATGAATGAATAAATAAATAAATAAATAAATGTTTTCAAGATCAAGGTAGCTCCTTTGTTTTTCTTCTCATAGCTGGGCACTTTATTGATTATTTCCCAAAAGAGAATCAAATGTATATTTCTACCAGTCCTGGTAGCAATTTAAATGGCATGCTGTAGTGCTGAAGACTTTGTCTTTCTAATTTTGGGGTGGGTAGGGTGGAGAATAGAAAGATCTTTTCTTGGGTAAAAATAAAAATGTAATTTTATGTTGAATTGGGTATCTCAAATACTTCTATATCTTACAAATGCTGGGCAGCTTTTTTTCCACTAAGCATTCTGCAATTCTTTGCTGCGTGTATGATAGTTTAAAAAAAAAAGGTGTCCATAATTTAAGGAAAAAGAAGGGTCAGTCCATCTAATTAAACTGGACAGGCAATACAATTAGTTGAGCTATAATCTCACCTACATTACTACATCCAATTTTGGTTCCCACACTGTAAAAAAGACACCCGGTATCGACTCACCATGAAGACCTAGAATCCCCGTCAGATAGCGATGAGGAAGAGGTCAACCGACTCCGAACGGAACAAGACCAGTCCACACAATGCTCACTTCGACCGTGTGCAGGATGTGGAGCGAATCACCCACGATCCAGCTGCAAATTCCTCGACGCACTCTGCCGCGTTTGCGGGAAAAGAGGTCACATCGCAAAGGTTTGCAGAAGCAAACAAAACTCCAAACCCCGACAGGCCGAATACCAGTCTTCAGGATTCTTCGGCACACCCCGAGACAAACTGAATCACCAATGGGGAAGCCACTCCTACAGAAACAAACCGTCCACCACTTCCACCAGGCGTGAAGAAACCAGGCGGGAAGAGACCCACCAAACAATTACCATAGGCCACATCCCTTGATGCCGGGAAGATCAGAGTGAAGGTCGCTATCGAAAACAAACCTTGTGTAATGAAGGTGGACTCAGGATCATCCCTCTCGATGGTGTCCTGGAAGACGCTCCAACAGCTCATTCCGACAATTCACCGCCAAGACCTCAACCCTCAAAGGGTTATACTCAAAGACTACCAGGGTAACCGAATTCCCGTTGTCGGGTCCCGCCGATTCCAGGTCTCTTTCAAGGACCGCACCGTCGCACTGCCACTGACTGTCGTGGACCGTGACCAGCCTAGTCTTTTAGGCCTGCAATGGTTCAGATCGCTCGGAATCACTGTAGCTGGAGTCCACCATGCCGAGAGCAACGATTGGGAGGAAGCCCTCGTGCAAGAATTCCAAGACGTTTTCGCGAACGGACTAGGCAAGTACAAGGGGACCCCGATCTCATTTAACTTGAACCCCGAGGTAGCACCCATCCGCCTTAAGCCGCGTCGGGTGCCGTTCGCCCTGAAACCTAAAATCGATGAACAACTCGATAAGCTAATAGAACAGGGCGTGCTTGAACCCACCGACCACGCCCGATGGGAAACCCCAATAGTGACGCCTATCAAGCCTGATGGGTCACTGAGAATTTGCGGAGACTACCGGGCCACCCTAAACCACGCACTTCAGCAAAGTGCGTATCCAGTGCCGGTAGTGCAACACCTGCTCCATTCCCTGGGCGGCGGGAAAGTTTTCGCTAAACTAGACCTAGCACAGGCATATCAACAATTGCCTGTAGATCCGGCCACCGCGGAGGCGCAAACTATCGTCACGCATTGGGGCGCATTTAAATGCAACCGGCTCCAGTTCGGGGTGAGCGTCGCTCCAGGAATTTTTCAGAGCTTAATGGAAAGGCTGTTACAAGGAATAAGAGGGGTCATACCGTATTTCGACGATGTGCTCATCGCCGCCCCGAACAGAGACATTCTAGAAAAACGACTCCGCATAGTTTTACAAAGGTTCCAAAACGCAGGCCTCAAAGTTAAAAAAAATAAATGCCAGTTATGTACCGAAAGGGTGGAGTTTTTGGGATACCTCCTGGACAGTCAAGGAATCCATCCCACTGAGGACAAATTAAAGGCAATTAAGAAGGCCCCCACTCCAAGGAACAAGGCAGATCTACAGGCATTCCTTGGACTTATCAATTTTTATAACGTCTTTTTACCCAATAAAGCAACCGTAGCTGAACCATTACATAGACTCTTAGACAAAAAAGCAACGTGGGTTTGGGGACAACGTGAACAAAACGCTTTCCAACAAGTAAAGAAATTGCTAACTTCTGATTCTTTACTTATGCAGTACAACGAGACTCTGCCGTTAACTATTACTTGTGACGCCTCACCTTTTGGGGTTGGAGCAATCCTGGCCCACGTATTACCGAACGGAGCAGAAGCTCCCGTAGCATTTTTTTCACGAACTTTAGCTAAAGCTGAAAGAAATTATAGTCAGCTGGATAAAGAAGCTTTAGCTATTGTGGCGGCAGTTAAAAGGTTTCATGAATATGTGTATGGGCGTGCGTTTACAATAATTACTGATCATAAACCACTACTGGGGATTATTGCGGGTAATAAACCAACCCCGTATATATTGTCCCCCAGAATGACCCGCTGGTCTGAATTCTTGGCGGCGTACAACTACACCTTGCAACACCGCCCGGGGAAATCAATTCTCCATGCTGATGCATTGAGCAGAACACCGCTTCCAGAATCGGTTGAAGATCCAGCCCCAACCATCACAACGTTGCAAATTGAGACTCTACACGCGCCGCCATTGACGGCGAGAGACATTGCCCTCGAGACAAAACGAGATCCGGTCCTGCAACACATCCTACGCTGGGTTGAGCGTGGTTGGCCAACAGAACTGCTATCACCTGAATGGGCGCCTTTTAAAGCACGCCAAACCGAACTGTTTTCTCAAAAGGGCTGCATCTTGTGGGGCGATAGAGTCGTAATCCCGGGCAAACTGCAACGAACTGTTTTAGCGGTATTGCACGACGGACATCCGGGCATCGTGCGGATGAAAGCACTTGCACGGAGCTATGCCTGGTGGCCGGGAATCGACAAAAGAATCGAGGCCTGGGTCGCTACTTGTCAACGTTGCCAAGACGTCAGCAACGCGCCACCTAAACCAAGCCCAACCGAATGGGAAACTCCGAGAGGACCATGGTCCCGTATCCATATTGACTTTGCGGGGCCTACAAAAGGGCACACTTTCCTTATTACAGTCGATGCCTATTCAAATTGGCTCGAGATCCATCGAATGAGCACAACTACAACGACTCAGTTATCAACAAATTAAACAGGTTATTTGCCACACATGGGTTTCGGACGTCCTCGTCTCGGATAACGGCCCACAGTTCACAGCATTACTATTTGAACAATATCTTTCTGACCGGGGCATCCGCCATGCGCTAACCTCGCCCGTGCACCCTGCGGCGAACGGGCGTGCAGAGTGCATGGTACAGTTTGTAAAAAAGACCCTCCACAAAATGGAATTCGGAAACATCGATGAGAAAATCAATCGAATTTTATTGTTGCAGCACATCACGCCCCACAGCGTTACCAACAAAACGCCCGCCAAACTTCTTATGGGGCGGAAACTATGATCGCACCTCGACCGGCTCCACCCCGCATACGCACCCGAAAAGCCTTTCGGCTCCAGCAGCAAATGCCGGGAATTTAAGGTAGGTGATTTAATCTTTGCCAAAAACTTCTCCGGCGACCCTTTATGGATACCCGCAACCGTTACCCACCTCACTGGGCCTAAATCTTACCGCCTGCTAACAGACGATGGGAGGGTGTGGAAACGCCACATAGACCAACTCCGTTCGAGATTACTACCCAGCGCCCATGGCTCCCCGGGTTCACCAACTGAGGGGGGAGGAAATACCGAGGAAATTGACTTCGATATGACGGATAGCAGGCCAACGGAAGCCCTACGGCCCAGCGAAGTACCGGGGATTGAAGCGGGGAGGGAGTTGACTTGTCCATGGGACTTGAACACGGGGGAAACCGAACTGCGAAACCCCGAAGAAACACTGATTGACGGAGACAACAACAACGGAAGCAGCACGGAATCACCGTGCAGCGAAACGGAACTTAATAAAGATCATCCAAACGCTCCACCGGAACCGGACTTAAGGACAAACCCGGTGGAGCCACGGAAATCATCCAGACAGACCAAACGGCCTGTCTATCTTGAAGATTTTGTTACAGCTCCCCTCAAATGGAACCCAAGGGGGAGGGGTGTTGTGAATGAATAAAAATTACTAAGCCTAAATGCAAAGCAGGTTTTGGAAGCCTGCACATTTGATTGGTCCTTAAACAACGAACAAGGATTGGTTCATAACAAGCCCCTGATTGGCCAAGCTTAGGACACTTCTTATTGGTTATTAGTTTGAACTTGATGCACTTAGTATTGGTTAATAGGGTAGCAGCCAACCCTATAAAAGGGGCTACTGCTGCCCATAGCCTTGCTCTGTTCTCTTCTATTTACTGTTATTAAAGAGTTGAAGTCACTGGTCAGATGTCTGGTCTCCATTACTCTCCAAACATAACAGTGACAAACCCTTGGGCAGCAGCAGCTCTTTTATAGAGCTGGCTGCTGACCTGTTAACCAATGACTTGTGTCCAAATGCTTAACTTTTGCCCAATGAGAGATGTCCAACTAATAGCCAATCAGGTTGCTCCGTAAGGACCAATCCCTGTTCGCTATCCATGGGCCAATCAAAGGTGCAGGATTACAAGCCTGCTTACCATGAGGTTGATAAGTTTTATTAAATAGTTTTTATTAGTTCATAACATACTCAATAAAGTTTTGCATTCAGAGATTGATTCGTCTCAGCGAAGAAAGTTTAAAAAAAGAAGAAGATAAACTTTAATGTTTTATAAATGAAATTCTGGAACACACACACACACACACACACACACACACACATGGTCCCTAGGCATCTGCAGGTACTTTAAAGAAAACCAGAAGAAAGGCTTGAAGAAGCATAGAAAGAGAGTGGCACCTTCTCAAATATATTTATACAGCTATTTTCAATATTATTTTCTCTCTTTTCTCATTTCATGACCCTGTAATTCCTTTACAGGTAATCCTTGACTTACAACATTTCATTTGTTGACCATTCA